ATGTAATGTGTAGCCTAAGTTTTCAGCATTTAAACGAAGCTAATGCTAACGATAATCGCTAGCATTAATGATAACGTTACAATTATTCAGTGATGCTGACATATCATATTAATCGTATCTTTACTTAAATGTTTATGCCATAAACGGCATTTCCCAGTCAAGTCCGAACTAACAAAAACAGTGTAGGCTACAAAAACAGGGCTGTATGCAAAATGCAATTTCTAACAGTCTGACAAAAATCTTTTGATAATGTCTAAATATATAAAAATGAAAAACTTAATAAATGTAAGGAATTGTTACTGGGGGATACACCATGTTACTTATGCTTTTCATTGTAAATACCTTGCTTTATGTTTATTTTAATTGAAAATAATATTAAAGTGCTTTTTCTAATATTTCTATTTTATATAGAAATAAATGGTTCATTATTTTCTATCCACCTTATTCCTAAATGCGGAAATAAGCCTATGGGCGAGACTTCCGTTTCATTAGCCGCTAGCAAGAAGAATAACAACGTGCAGTAAACAATCAATCTGTTTGCATTACAAACCAGTGTGTTCATAATTAAGATTATGCTAAATATATGCTAAAAATAGACCCAAGACCCATAAAATTTACAAATGGCCATGCCCATTTTTACACGAAGAAGAAGGTGGATACCATGAAATCCCTCGAAACACAAAATATTTAATATTATTCAAATAAGTTATAATACATTAATTTCATAAAAATACAATTCCTATATGATTATTGTCTCTTGTCATTTTTGACCACAGAGAATACTAGTGTGGAATACCAGAGGGTTAAAGTGTTTTAGCAGAAAAAAGGAAAATAACCAGAAGGCTGAAACACAACAAACTCGAGTCATGCATCAACACAAGGCAGTGACAGTTAATTGGAAAGTCTAATATAAACGTTGATGTGGTTCTGAGAAACCTCATATTTTCATTTCTATTATATTTTCTATAGGAAACAGTGGTTCTCAACTGGCTTTGCTTCAGGGCCCAGGTTTTACATTGGACATCAAGTGACTGGCGCATTGTGGTATTGAACACTTTTCAAATACATCACATTAAGAAAGCTTAAAATTTGTGATTTAATTTCATGTCAAAGACACTGACGTAAGGAGAGAAAAAGAATCAGAAGAAGAACCTGCCTAAGTGAGAAAAAGTAAATAATGGTGAAAAATCTGAAGGAAAGGAAGAAGTTAAGGGGCTGACATTTAGAGCGAGCGAAAGTGTTACAGGAGAAAGAATACTTCTCTTTGGATAAGGTCTCGGTCATTAGAGCTTGCTTCTTTGCTGCAAATGTTATACCATTGACATTTCCAGCAAAATGAGTCTTTTATTCCTCTGTAATGACCTCCTAAAGGTTAATTATCCTGTTAAATCTCAAATCCTCCCCTTTACTGTCCTGAATCAACTATCTTTTTCTAACAAAGCTTTGTTGACAGCTCTCTGCAAACCTTTGGATATTTTTAAGATATGATATGTAAGTTACTGTGCAATCAGATATAGCAAAATCAGTTGAGAAGCATATCACTTCTCATATCACCATGTAAAGTACTGAAGGGGTATTTCTAGAGAAAGATGCACTGGTATATTTTTGTTTGCTAATTTTATTGCATCGATGCAAGGATTTTATTGAACTGGATTTTCAGCGGCCATAAAAGTATTGTCTCTACGTTAACAGGATATTACATTTAGATGCATTCAAAAATGGTTTGTAGTTGTGTGTACACTAGATTTCATGTAACTTTGCTCAATACATATGTATAGCCAGTCACGGATGCTATAAAGTGTTTATTGAAAACTAAGAATTGCAATATTGTATTGTAAATGTAAATACCAAACAAATATCTCCCAGTCCTGAACCACAATTACTGTTTTATTGTTGAATGTTGTAGACATTGTTCATCATAACAGCCTTTGGTAAAGTAATAATCTAAAATGTTGTGTCATTCATAACTTTCTAATAATAGAAATAGAAATCTCTACTCATGAAGGTTAATGCACACACACACAATTTACGCACATGATATTACCCAAATGACGTGATGTGGAACTACGCTAGTAGATTAAAATACTCTTGTCTTTTAATATGAAGGGACTGTTGGAGATTCATTATTCAAACATACTACAGGGCCCATTAAAAGCACTTTTTTATATGCAAAATCAGACAGATATTCTAGCAGAGATGCGGTCATAGCTTTAAAAGTATCACCTGGATGCAGGTGATGGGGGAGAAGAGAAATAGAAGAGAAAGAGATACAGCAGGTAAACCTGTAATTAGATAATGAGATCGATAAGTTAGTGCTGGGCGGTATGACCAAAAATTTATATCACGGTATTTTTCAAAATTATACCGGTTTCACGGTACATGACAGTATTTTTTGTTTTTTTCATGCATGACCGGGTGTTAACGGGTACTTTTGCCTACTGTTTTTTTAAATACTTTGAATTCGGACATATTATTTCACATACTGCTTTTCGCCATCTTTATAGTAGGGAAGTATGCATTTTTGGATTCAGCCTTTGTGAATAGTCATATAAAAGGGTCTCACTGTGTTTCGGTAGTCTGGTTTATAACAGTCAGTGTTATAGAGGGGGAAGGTAGAGAGAGGAGAAAGGAAGAAGAAAGAGGTAGAAATGATCACAGAAAAAAAAATGAGCTTGTTGGTACCTTAAAGGTACATATTAGTACCTAAAAGGTACAAAAGTGTACCTTTTGAAAAGGTACTTCCCCAGTGACAGCTTTCGTACCTTTTTTCTGAGATCGTGGGTTATATTTCTATTTATTTATTTAAATAATCTGACATCACATTTTCTGAATTTTATATTTATTGATGGCATATCACATTTTGTTTGTGAAGGCGTGATATTTCTAAATGTTTTCATTACTTGCAGGTGTGTTATATACTGTATATTGTACATGTATCCATATATTTATGATATTTGTGTTATTGGAGACTTTGTTTTCTTCATAATCATCAAAGATTAGACGAAATTGTTGTTTACAAAAATTTATTTATACAAATCTTACAACACAGATTTTTTTTTTTTTTGTTTGTTTCTTACATATATAATGGTGCCCTTGTGTGGCTCCCATGTGTTATTGTATTAACGATCAACACAAGACAGAGATTTATCTTCATGTTTAAGTAAGGCTTTGGGCACTATCAGTCTCTGCACACAAAATGAATTTCAAGGCTGAGATTGTTTAATAAATGATACAGCACACTATGCATAGAGAAGTTAAATCGAATAACCAGAAAGCCAGGTGGCATTTGAACAAGGTATGTTATGTGAGAAATAGGAGATGTGTGAGCAGGTGATTGCAGCATTTGGAGGGCCACTAATGTGCCATCTGAAATTGGTGGCCATTTTAAAGATGAAGCAAAGGCCCCCAAGCCGCTAGCTGCCTCCTGTGTCACAAAGCCTGCAGGAGAATGCAGAATTAAACACAGATTGATTTCACATGTTCGCCCTTTTACACGCAAACACATTATAATATGCATATGCAAACATGTACATCTCACTAACAAGCTTAAGCATATATAACACTGCCAAAAACTGTGATGTAATTTGGAGGAATGCTTTTAACAGTTGGTTTTACCTCAAAACATATAGTCTTTTATTTCATCTTTCACAATATTATTTGTCTTGCATGCATAAAGGGATTATTAGAATATATCTGTTATGTGTCACACCCAACTCATCTAACAATGACCTACTGATACTTATAACCACACAGATGTGACCGAAATGCAGAGACACACGTCTCCATTGATTAACTGCTTTATGGTCATAGACAAAGAACAGACATTTGCCGCTGATGTGAGAGGTGGGCAATGTGAGAAAGATAGAAAATTGTGAAAAAAAAGAACAAAGAAAGAAACATTTATATGTCTGAACCATTGTAATCAAGTCGAATACACATTACACATGCATTCATAGATGGATTTCAGTTTTTCTTGCTTGTGAGATTTCAAAGGGGAGCAATTGCATGCAATAAGTGAAAAGCAGGAAGGACTGGACAGTGTTTCAAAAAGAGTCATCTGTGTGAATCAGAGTGTTTGAAGATGCAGATTTAATTAACATTTATATACACAATAAAGGCCTGTTCAGTTCACATTAAAAATAGTTAATAGGTTTGTTGTCTGCTGCTTTAAATGCTCAAGCTCGCCAAAGTCAGGTGGATTCTGATTGGCTGTCAAAGTTTTTATTGTTCATCAGCTGAAAAAAAAAAAAAAACATTCTTAAAAGTGATTCCAACAATATTTGGACTTCCATATTCACATAGAACTGGAAATTAATAAACCTTTATAGTTACAGCTTTTGTCATAGTTATTGTCCATGGTGTGAACGGGTCTCAAGGAGCTCTTTTTTTTTTCGGAAAGGTTTGTGCAAGAAAAGAAAACGTGTTTAATGGCGTGTGAGATTTAAGCCAAAGATGACAGTGGGAAGAACTTGACGCGAGTAAAAGCATGGAAGAGATGAGAGAGACCCCTCAAAAAAGCACTATGGCACTGAGCCTTAGAAACTCACCGGGAATTCAGGAGGCAACTGTCAGCAAATCGAACAAAAATGCCACAATCTCATCGTCTTGTAGAAATTGGTGCAAATCTAAGTCTTCAGGGCTGTTGTAAATAAAAAAAACTTCTTTCTTAATGTCAGGAGGAAAAGGAAGGTATCATTCAATGTAGTGATTGTCTTTTAGACTATTTATTTAATCACATTCGGACTTATGTATTTAACAGACAAGGTATTGAAACAAACATGAATGAATAAATAAATAGCATTGTTAGTATTGGTAAAACTAAACGACTGGTCCACAAGGAAGATCGTTGCATTGTCAGGTGCTTCAGTACAAAAGAAAAACAATATTATTATCAAAATATTTGTCTTAATGTCTTAAGGACACATCTTCATAGTAGTCTTAGTAGTGACTAACTTGCCCCAAAAGCTGTACATGTACATGATAGATGCATTTGAAAAAGGCTACAAATAGGCGAGCCACCGTCCTTTGCTTCTATATCTCTGTCTATACCTTTTGCCAAGGACTGCGGCCAGATACTTCTTTACGGCCATTTGCTTCCGGTAGCGACTGTAGCTGTCCGTGAAAACCCCGTCCGAGTGGCGCTTTGAGAGCGGCTCATTGTCGTCCTCTATCATGCTTGCTCCCCTGCGTTAGAGAAAAAGGACAAAGCGTTCTAGAACCCAGTATATTGGAATCACACCGATAAACAAACGGGTCCCATTTTGGGAATGCCTAGAAATATAATAGGAGATCTAGTGGAAGAAAGAAGAATCACCTTTTCGATGGAGGACTGTATAACGTGTATGCGTCTTCAGTAACTGAAGGAGAGCTTCGAATAGTGATCTGGTCACTGTCAAAGGTTAGATCCGTTAATGAGTTTCCCTCCTCGTCAAATCCTGCAGTTCTGTAACAAGACATGAACTCATTTCATTCGCAAGTAATTAACACAGGCTATTACTGTGAAGTAAACGTGCTCTAAATATTTAAAATACATAGCCTATAACAACAAAATAGTAAAGACAGTTCTGTAAAATTGCTTTAAAGTTTTGTCCTAATTGTGTTCTTGCTTTGGGACATGTGATACATAGTTTTGTGTATATTACACTTTATTATGCAGAGTAAGATGTCTTAAAGTTATTGACGATCATAATAAAATCGCGTTATAAAATTAAATCAATTGTACATTCTAATCAAAGCGCGTTCACACTTTTGCCGTTCTTTCAAATCGTTCGAATCTACGCGAAACAAAGAACGCTCATAGAACACTAACTTGTTTGTTATTATTTCTTATTTAGACATACGGCCAACAAAAAATACATCTGTTCAAATGTTTGGGATCGGACACTTGTCAATAAAACGCTTAAAATCGCTTAAACGCTTTATTCATTTAATAGTGTTATAGGCCAAAGTTTTATCGTCCAACTTCGCTACAACCAAATCCTCAAAATCCAAATCGTTACCGAGCGTTAGGTGAGACGGGTGGTAAGTTTCCGTACCTGATGTTGGGGTAACTCAACACGTTGCATTGTACGAGGAGCCCGTGGATGAGGAAAGCAAGAGTCGTTTTGCTGCTCGACATCATTCTGTATAAGATAAAGATATGAAATAGAACACAGAGAAACATTTAAAAACTTTAATCCTTCGACGTTCCAAATTGTATCGTTCCTTTGTCCCTCTATTAGTTTAATGACAGTATCAGGTGTCTCTTCAACTACAAATACTCCAAACAAATATGTACTCTCAAAACAGCCTACTTTTATCTCAAAACCGAATTACTGCTCACAGAATACCGGTTTCTTCCAGCAGTGGTTCACATACCTACGGCAGCGAACGAATGCGTTCCGGTAGAGTCTGCAACGACAATGAGATGAAAATCTCTCTCTCTCTCTCTCTCTCTCTCTTCCAGTCTGCTCTTTAAACTTTTCTGTGCGTCACTTTGTTATCCTTATGAGCACAGAACGGATTTTTTTCTTAGATCTCCGTAATGACAGTCGAACGGATATGAAACGAGTTATCATTTGTCTTCATCTCTCATTATAGCATCGCGAGTTTTATTCTTGGAGCCCTTGCTTCTGGACCCTTTTCACTCCCCGCTTTAGAGACTGTGTCGACGTCATCCTCCCTTATTATGGAGAGATCACTGCACTTTTCCTTCCTCCAGACACAAACACACGTGGGGTTTCCGTGTTTTAATGGGGGACTTTCCATAGACATAATGATTTTTATACTGTACAAACTGTATATTCTATCGCCTAACCCTAACCCCTCATATAGAAAAACCCCCTTATAGAAAATGTTCTGCATTTTTACATAAAGTAGTATTTGTTGTTTTTCTTATGGGGACCAAAAAAATGTCCCCACAAGATACAATAAAATTGGGGGCATTACTGATCCTTGTGGGGCGTTCTTAACATTTTAATTTCATATATACATTTTATATTAATCTATAGTGCATATCAATCATTTTAACTCTGTTTAATATATTTAATATCAGTTTATATTAACGTAGGATTCAAAAGTGTAAATAAAATACACATGATTTAAAGGGATGGTTCACCCAAAAATGAATTACTCTGTCATTAATTACTCATCCTCATGTCGTTCCAAACCCGTAAGACCTTCGTTCATCTTCGGAATACAAATTAAGATATTTTTGATGAATTCCCGAGAGCTCTCTGGTCTGGTCCTCCATTGACAGCAAGGGTCCTTATGCGATCAAGGCCCAGAAAGGTAGGGTACCAAAAACATCGGCAAAGTAGTGCATGTGACATCAGTGGTTCAATCAGAATTTTATGAAGCCACGAGAATACATTTTGTGTGCAAAGAAAACAAACATACATTTTGATACTCTCCAAAATGGTGCCAGGGTGACGCAGAGGAGATGAAGCGGTCCATGGAGGATCAGAAAGCTCTCGGAATTCATCAAAAATATCTTAATTTGTGTTCCGAAGATGAACAATGGGTTTACGGGTTTGGAACGACATGAGGGTAATTAATGACAGAATTTCCATTTTTTGGGTAAAAAACACTTTATAATACACTTTAGAGTTATTAAAGTGGATGATGGATTTTAGCTTGCATAACAGTTTTTTAACATATTGGTAGGCCTATGTATTTTTTTACATATGTTTCCTAAAACTGTAAAACTTGAAAGACCCTCTGTTGAAAGCCCAGGTAACCAAAATAATTCTTAGTATTAACTATGACTTTTGCCTCAATAAACTCCTAATTTGCTGCTAATTAAGATATTTGTTAAATTGAGGTATGGGGTAGGATTAAGGGATTTACAATATGTTCATGCAGAATAAGGCATGAATATGAGCTTTATAAGTATATAAACGGCCAATACGCCAGTAATGTGCATCATAATATGCAACTAGTTAAAAGTGAGAATTGGGCCTTAAAATAAAGTGTTACCACCAAAACTTAAAGGGATAGTTCACCCAAAAATGAAAATTAGCCCATTATTTACTCACCCTCAAGCCATCCTAGGTGTATATGACTTCCTTCTTTCTAATAAAAAGTGTCTCACACGGCTGCGGGGGGTGAACAAAGGCCTCCTGTAGCGAATCGATGCGTTTTTGTAAGAAAAATATCCATATTCAAAATGTAATAATCACTTTAATCTAGCTTGTGCCAACAGTTGTACACGGAAGCAGCTCCAGGAGGATGACGTAAGATGTCGGCGTTGCGCATGCGCCGGTGAGTCTCGTGAAAATCAAAATTTGTTTACAGGAGCAAAAGAAGCAGTTTCCTTACTTTAGCAAAGGAAAACCAGTCTCCTCTTGGCTTATATCGAAATCCTCCGACATTCTTCTTTACAAATCCTCATTTTGTACTTCTAATTCGTGACCGTTGTTTTGTTTTGATCTTTCCGCTGTGCTTCCGCATTCATCACTTCTTAGCGGCGCATGCGCAACGCCGACATCTTACGTCATCCGCCCGGAACTGCTTCCAGTGTACAACAGTGAGCGCAAGCTAGATTAAAGTGATTATTACGTTTTAAATATGGTTATTTTTCTTACAAAAACGCATCGATTCGCTACAGAAGGCCTTTGTTCACCCCCCGGAGCCGTGTGAGGCACTTTTTATTATGGATGGATGCGCTTTATTTAACTTCTTTTGGACTGATGAACTGAACATAAGGGACTGCTAGTAACAACCTGTTGCATGCATAAAATGCAACCTTTCTGACTGTGATTTATATTAACATTACAAAATAGAACATGATCAATATGAACTTTTAACATTCAATTTAAATAAATGTAACTGCACAAACTGTGTTGGCTACAATTTCATTTTGTATATCGTGAAGCAACTCAAACATGTTTTTTCTGTTCCTAAAAACAATGCTTTCCTATGATACTTTTGGGAAACGCAGCCCTGTTTGAAGTGAGTGAACGCTCTCTGTGATTGACTGATTGATTGTTTCTGTCTTGCAACATTTGCGTGTGTTCAGATGAGCAGGAGAGGAGACAAGATGAGTTTAACGAGGAGACAAGAGGTCGAATTTTAATGGACGTCGGTGGAGAGACTTCAACACGCGCCGAGGAAACAGCTTATCACTTAAGTAAATCGGCACCTAGGCTAATCAGATTTGCAAATCAAAATTCATTTTGGATTTATCTACCTTTGGAGTTAACACCGGAAAAAGCTATTTTAATTGCCTCTTGCAGTCGGGAGAGTAATTGAAAACGGAGCCGTCAAGTCTGACAGTTCATGCCGTGGTGACGCTCTTGCGGTGTTTGCTTTATTTATCGCAGAAGATGTGGATTTAGATGCGACATTTGTCAAATGTCATTTGTCAATACTGCTTAATACAGCGCAAATCAGAAATACTGTAGACACAGAATAGCATATTTGGAAATGGCAGGGACGTTTTTATATACCCATACAAAATATGTTCTAAGATCCCATTAAGGGATGAAAACCTTATTTCTAGATGTTGTCTAAATGTTCAAAAAGTTTTAAATGTTTTTTAAAAAAAAGTTATGGTTGTGGTCAAACACGGAGGGAACATTCCATTATCATTTCGCAAATGTTGTGGGAACGTTACATTTGAAAGTTTTCGGAACTTTTTGAAACAATTAGTAAGTTGTAATGTTTAAATAGGCTATGTTAGACGGGTGTCAAACTAAAACATTTCAGGAAAAAAACCTGGAACGATGTAGCATTAAATAGCTAACGTTTTGAGGATGTTATTAAAGACCAGATAACTTTGAACAATTTTTTTTAACGTTACTGTTGGTAACACTTTATTTTGATAGTCCACCTTAGACATGCAACTACATTTCAACTAGCAGTCATTAGAGGAGTGGATGTCTGCTATATCTGCAAACACGCATGGTCCCCCAACACACATTCTACTGACTATAAGTACAGTCTATTAATACTTTAATGAGAGTAAGATGACAGGTTGCAAAGTTAGTCAAATGTCTAAAAGTAGACTATCAAAATAAAGTGTAACTCATTAATTTAGAGTGAACATTAGCCAAAGGTTTGAGCATGTTCTCCGTTAGCTGGGTAGAAGCTGGGCTGGGGTGTACATTTTGAATCATGCACACAAAAAGTGCATGACCCTAAACTGCAAAGAAACCTCCTAAAAGAATTCAGCTTATGCTGCATAAACCTCTAAGGTCAGCCCTAAATAAACACACACAGGTATTTTGCTTATAGTTAATTATACTGCATCAGACAATGTCACAGTCATAACCCATCCAGTTTTGTCCCATGCAATAACCAGTGTTTGCTTTTATGGCTCACTTGAACATATGTCTCTGTTTGTCTTAATTAGTAAAATATGCTTGTGTCTGTGTTCTTTATGAGGCAGATATGACATTTATTTTGTGCATAAGGAAGTGTGCACAACATACTACAGTGTCAACATGCGTGCAACTTGTTTAAGCAAATAATGGGGAAATTTTGTTCAAATTAAAAGGATATTTGGATTCTACGTGCTCGGAGACCATTAACCTCTTCATTCTCTTGGTTTCACACATCCCTGTGCTTAAATATCATTTAAATGTCAAATGATTCAAAATTAGTACGAGTAATACTAATTATCTCAAATTAAATACTAACAATTTACTGTAACAAATTTACAGACCTGACAGTAGGAACTCAATGCAACAAAAGCCAAGTCAATTTATTTAGCGCTTACAGTGTCATTATTTGATATGTGGATAAAATTGCATGCAATTTTGAGTTGGCATTATTGTAAGGTTATATATAACAGTTTGATTTACTGTCGAACCTTGGTTATGTGTATCGCTGCCACTGTTAAATGATGCATATAAATGACAGGATCCAAGATTATGGTCATTTTGGTTGCCCACTTTAAATGAAAATGAAGTCATGCCATAATATTTACTCCAAAGTACGTAATACAAAATATCTTTTAGGCTCTTTATGTGGATTTTGATGGCTGGAATTTTGTGACTGTCTATGAAAAATGATGGATTATAGCACCATTCAAAGCTTTAAAACCTGACAGATAGCCAATGAAGAGATGATAAAATCGGGCTGATCATGCAAGGCTCTGAAGTCATCTTGTCAGCCAGTATTTTGGTACTGAATGACTCCTTTTATTTTACTTCAATCAGTAATTTCATCGGTTCATGACATCTGGAAAGTACTTAATTATATGTACTCAAGTGAGCTTTTAATGTGGCGAATGTTAAGACTTATGTATTTATGAAATCATCTGCCTAGAATCCTGCAAAGTTGATCAGCTGTATTGATTTCAGATATATCAATGATTAGGTCAAGAATTGTATTGGCATGGTCAAATATTTAGCTGCTGCATTCATATATTACATACTTTAATTTCTCTTTTAGATTATTGGTAAAAGCCAAAAGGGGGCAGCAAAGTAGAGGTATTAAAAAAACTCAAGTGATTCATCTAACAGTTAAAACAGTGCCCACCATTTATATTTTTCATAAAGCTCCCTTCATCACAGTTAATAATTGTTTAAATTGTTTTTAAACCAACC